AGGTGGATAGGCTTCAGCAATAATGCAGGCATTTTACTGTGAGTGGTGCTGAGCCAGAAGGCAAACCTCTCAATTTACCAGTTGATACGTACCAACCACCTCAACTGGCACCTTTCGATGTAAAGGAGCAGTGACTCTCCACCGAGGTTCCTCTGGATGTCTGTGCTCCTTAGTTTATCTATAAGGGTGGGCCAGCCACTCTATGGAGGAAACTCATTTAGGATGTTTGTATCTGGGATCTCCTTCTTTCAATCTCTTTTCTGCTCTCTTATGAATATTCCATTAACAGTAGGTTATTGAAAAAATACATGATTTCTATTGTCTTCAGATGATTTGGAAATTTACATAACATTTGGATGGCCATGGTTTTGAGCTAATATAGAAATGTGGATTGTTTTATGTGCACAACTGCACACACAGTGGTCATTGCAGTTTAAAATGGTACATGCAGTGACTTTTGTGGTTGTGTGTTTGTCAGACATGCAGAAATGCAACCTTTCAGTAGGTGAACGTGATAAGCAGCTTAGGCTGACAGCCAGGTAAACAGTCCCCATTCATTTACCAAGCCACGAGGGATGGTAACACTCACTGATATGTAATGTAGGCACTGTGAGTCTATAAGAAAGACATTCACACAGAGACCTCATGTATGACACATGCAGGATTATACTGTTCAACCTGTGTTTGACCCATTCCTGAAAACTCTTGACCCTGTCTGTCAGCCTGTCCTAAAATTTGCATCTGCGTTTGCTTCAGTAAAATAAAGTGTTTGTCTGTATTTATTAGCTGTATTTGAACAGTAGTAGTCCATAATTTAGTAAACTTGCAAACACTTGATTGGATCATTAAAGATTTATGCCCAAACAGTCCCAACTCAAGGTGTTTACTAAGTTTTTCAACCATATCACATGGCCTTTATGTAATATGGCCAACAGACATAGTTTGCACAGTTGTTATGGAGATGGATATGTTGAAATTAGAGTGCTGTAGTTGTTATGGTTTCATCCATAGCACTGAAATTCACAATCTGTCAGTAACATTCTGGGAAATATAGTGAAGCAGAAAGGAAGCAGAAGCAGGAAGGCCTGTACTTTCATCTTTAAATAACTCATCTTTTAAAGGAATACTTCACCTAAAATCTATCTCAGATAGATTGCTGCCTTTGCTCAGCTTCTTTTGTGACATCAAAGGCATGTGGCCTTTCTCTGCTGCCAGCTGGTTCTGGTTTGAACATGACGTCAAAATTCAAAGAGCTAGTTGAAGGGCCATTTTAAGAGAACACACGCAAAAACACATACTATCTATGCACTTTTGCTAAGTAAGCTGTAGTTCTACCCCAGCTGGTGTGTGGTTATAAGTCAGTCAGTGAGGTCTTTCGATGTCTAAGACCAGCAAACCAGCTGTGGTACAACAGCTGCCACCCTCAATGTTCATTTACATACTAAAAATAAGTCTAGCCACCATGACATGCATGCACAGTGTCTAGTCCAGTAAAATAACATTTAGTCTCAGTTCTTTTACCTTTTTAAAAAAAAACTTTTTTAACACATATGACTGTACAATTTGGGCTTCAATTCAAATTCAATTGAATTCAGTTTTATTTTTATTTGTATAGCACCAATTCATAACAAACTCCTGACACTTTTGAAATAGAGCAGGTCTAGACCAAACTACTTATAAAATTATTTACAGAGACCCAACAGTACCCACCATGAGCAAGCACTTCCAGTATACTATACAGTTATGTTCTGATCATGAAAGTTCAGCCTTAAAAATAATGCTGTCCATGATCATAATCCATAAAGGCAGTACCCTGTTCCATTACAACATCGCTGGGAAAACAGTTCAGAATATAAATGCAATTTCTAGAAGACAGTGACTGTGAACATCAGACTGAAGCCATGCACAGCTTCAGCTAAAAAGGGGCCAAGGTCATCGACCAGGAGTGGACAGTCAGAGAAAGATATATTCTACTACATATTATTTAATGAGTGCTAGATACTTGTATCTGCAGTACAGTAAGATGATTTTATCACTATTAAATTTCACTCATAGTATACTCGTAGTAGTATATGTTGTTAGCTGCAGCTTCTTGCAAATGTTCATGGCACATGTCCTTGGCAACAGGTGGAATCAGTTCTTCGCCATATTGCTAAGGCTAAGAAGCCATTAAGTGCGGCGCTCTCAGAGCAGCTGCATTTGTAGTTTGTCTTCAATATCGCACACTTGGAGCATGTGATATGGGTGGTAATAATAACCATATTTCAGGTATGACGCATCATAGTTCTAATTGAAGGAAGCTTTCTTTTTTTGCAGTCTCTCCCTCTGCAGTCTCTTATCATCTTCTTTAGGTCTTTTATCTCCCTTCCTTCTTTTTGAAGATATTGTGTGTGTTTGTCATTGAGGAGCACAGAGAGACTGTGCCAAGTTTAATGTGATTACTGCACAAATTGCCAACAACGTTATATGTTTATTAATTCAGTTTTTTTAAATGTATTTATTTAATATTGGCAGAATTATATTATTTCCTCACGGCCTGGTAGCAAATGCTTTGGGCCAAGTGCCAGTCTGTGGCTTTTTGTTTTAAAAGAAATAAAGGAAATATTTGACATCACTAGTGCTGGTTGGTGTACCATCGGTATACTGACATTATAACGAATAAGTCATTAATGAAAGTTTGACACTGCTCCTTTCCCTCTTTAACTCTGAGCCACATTCAAGCTGCCGCTTGACTCTCTGCTCACATGTGGTTGGATTTAGTGCTACGAAAAAATAGGAAACTCTGAGGAGCAAAAAAGAGCTATATCCTTTCATATTTTGAATTTAAGTGTATCTCTCGGAAGCTTTTATCAAAGCTACAGTGCACTTTGGATCTAAATACCACCTGAGTCCTTTCACTCTCCTTTATCTGGATCATGACTTGGTTTATGTGGTGTTCTGAAGGCCTTGCCAGTAATAGGTGGACTGTTTTAAACACATGATGCAACCCTCTAAAAATGTTAAAATAGTTAAGTAAGAAAAGCTCTGATCATAAAGTTGTTTATGTATATGTATGTATGAATGCCAATATGGTTATATTTGACACACAGCACACAAGAAAGGTTCAGCACAGAGGAATATACGTCACAATTAATTTTTGGTACCTATTTTCTGTATTTGTATAGAAAATTTGGTTAATTATAAAACTTGTAACAGTAATTTGTCAGATAGCGTATATTGCTTTCTCTAACTAACTGATGTCAGTGAACCTCATTTGTCCAACTTATTGTTTGAATTAAAAAAAAATGCATTGTTTTGGATTGTTTTCCAACCCTGAGAAGCATCTAATCCTTCAGCAGTGTAACCAGCATAGCAGGCAGCAGTGACGAACAGGAGCTGGTTCTTGTGGAGACGTCAAATTTGAGGATGGAGGTTGTTTACAGCTGACCTTATTGTCCTGCCATAGGAGTTGTTATACTGTATCCTTTCTAATAAGACATTCCTCGTCAGTATTTTATAAAAAAGTCAACACCTGGAAAGGACCAGAATAATGGTGAGTATAATTTCATGTGTCAAAAACCCTTAAGTTACACTTCTGTAACTTTTTAATGCAGTGTAACAAAAGTCAACAAAAGCTATTTTGGCAATTTTTAAACAATAAAATCATTTTCAGACTGAAACCAAAAAGTTACCTTTTAAGTTAGTTAAACTTTTTACTAATGCTGATGATTCTTGGAGAAAATTAGCGTATTACCAAAATAAGGAATATTGACAAGAACGGCAACACAACACCTGGAACAAATCATGAAAACACGAAGGGCCAGATTGCCAACATTTATACAGACTTATGAGCTATATTATATTATAAGCTAATACTTACAGAACATCAATGCCTGTAGACTTTTGTGTTTATCGGAATGAGTGCAAGATTAATCAAATTAAATCAAAGAGGCTATTACAGCTAGAGTTTGAGAACTAGTAAATATGCCGATCAACCATAACATGAGCACTGACAGGTAAAGTGAATAACACCGATTAGCTCATTATCATGGCACATGTCAGTGGGTGGGATATATTAGGCAGCATGTAAATATTTTATCCTCATATTGATGTGTTAGAAGCAGGAAAAATGGGCAGCATAAGGATTAGAGTGACTTTGACAAGGGCTAAATTGT